AGTGAGTTTAGGGAGTTGGAGGCTAGCCAGGTGGGCATTCCATTAGGGAAGGAAGAATTTTACTCAGGTAAGGCTTGCTTGGGTTTGCTTGAGGCTAGGTTGGGTAAGGCTTGCTTGAGGCTAGGTTAACTTTGGCCATGGAAGGTTTGGCTTGGGGTTTGGCTTTGAACATAGATTGGGTATAGCAAGCTTGAGTTGAGTCATAGTTTGGGGCTTGGGTTTGGAGTTTGAATGTGGAGTTTAGATGGGTTGAGTTTGCAAATTTGAAATTGGGTTTATGATGTGGCAAAGGTTTAGGTGTGAACATGGGTTTAGATTTGAATATGATGTTGAGAGGTGTTCAATAATGAGTTAAGAGTTTGACTTGGTTTAAATTAGGATTGGATTTTTTTATTAAATTTAATCTTGAATGTATATTGATTTAAACTTAATTTGTATTTGATTTAAAATGTGAGTTTAAAATTAATTTGTGTTTGATTTAAAGTGTGAGATTGAAGTTAATTTGAATTGAATTTATATATGAATGTTTGATTTAAGTTTGAATTTAATTTGGCTTTTTGATTATCAGATTTAATATGAATCGGATTAAGTTTTACTTTGATGATTCAATTATTCAAATTTTGAAGTGAATTCATATTTATTTCAAATTAGGATCCAAATTTTGATTTATTTCAATTTATTTTTTATTTATGAAATAATTTGCTTATAAATTTTAATATATAAATTTTTTATCTAAATTTTAAACTCATTTGGTTCATTTTTATTTTATTTGACTTTGGATTTTTAATTTTCTTTAATTGCTTTTAAGATCAACTCAATCATGGTTAAAAATGAATTTGAATTTTATTGGATTTGATTTGATTTCATTAATTTAATTTTGATTTAATTGTATTTTTAATTTATGTTAAGATTAATTCAATCATGGTTCAAATTCAACATCAATTCGTTCATTTTCTAATCCAAAGATTTAATTGAGGAATGTGGTCTAGAGTTATTAAACGGGTCTCAGAGGATTCAAAGGTGCCTAAGCCATGGAGTCAGGTTTCTAGACCTAATGGGTTATCTAAAAGAGCATACCCAAGATTTTATTGGAGCACTCAACCTTTAGTTTTAATAACTTGGCTATAATCAACTTAACACCAAAATATGGGCTAATCATTAAAGTCACGTGTATTTCAAACCTAAGAGAGTGAAGATTTGGTGGTTTTCCACCGATCACTAATCTTCTAGGATAGCCTCTAAGGAAAGAAGAAGAGAGGGGGATATACACGTGAGTCAGTGTCTAAATCAAAATAGATTTGAGCCACACCCAACTTTATAGATTATACAGAAAGTACTAAACTCCATCGAGTATATTGAAACTAAGAAATTTCACTAAATTAGAGCCAGGAGAATATGCTTAAGCAAGAAGAAGATGAATAGCAGAATACAACATACTGAAAGGATTTTCTCATTAAAAAAGTATAATTAATTTAGAATTAAATCTTATTTGATGTTCACTATAAGCTAGCTACTATATAAGGGCATGTGAGAAAGTTTGTGAACCAGGCCAGTGGTCTCAAAGCCGCCTAGGTAGTTCTAAGGGAAGTGGAGAGGATATCTCCATTGGAAGTAATTACAGTATAACTAACCTATGGTTGCTACCTCCCCTCAAGTTCACAATCACTGGGCTTGATTGTGAGCTTGTGAAATAGGTTGGTGAATTGAGATGCTGGTAGGATTTTAGTTAAAATGTTTATTGTTTGATATGGAGAAGTTATTTGTTTAATCTGGATGTCTCCCACTGCAATATCATCTCGAATAATCTGGTGATTGATTTTTACATGTTTGGTCCAGTAGTGAAATATATGGTTGAGTGTTAGGGCAATTGCTGAAGTATTATCACAGAATAATGGAGTGATATGACATCTTGCGATATGACATCTATAGTGTCGGCTGCAAGAGCTCTGTATTATGCTTCTGTTAAGGATCTTGCAAATGTTTATTGTTTCGGTACAGTCCAGAATATGAGACTTGTGCCAAGGAACGAGTAGCAGCCAGATGTGGACCAACAATCTTGATTGTCTCCTGCTCAGTCAGAATCAAAATAGCATCTGAGCGGAACGTCACCTGCTGTGAGCGTAAAGCCATGATTGAGAGTGCTCTTGAGATAACGTAGGAGGTGTTTGATGAGCTGAATGTGGTATAACCTTGGTTGATGCATTTTTGTCATATGTATTTGATAACAGAGGCTGTATCAGGTCTCATAATTGTGATGAATTGTAGTGAGCTAGCTAATTGGTGATTTTTTGTTGGATTAGAGTAGTCCTGTTGGCAAAGGGAGTTGGTTTCAGTTGATGAGTTGAAGGGTGCTGATCAGTTTACAGTTAGGCATTCCCATTTATTGTAGGATTGAAATAATGTGAGTTATCTGAGTTGGATGAAACACTTAAGAATTGCATTGAATGTGAACTTCTAAGACGGTGTTCACTGACCCATGTTCAAGAATGACAGATTTAGTGGGAGTGTTATTTCTTTTGATCAAGATGCCATCATCATTAACCAACAAGTAAATATGAATATCATTATGATGATATGTGAGGAGTGTGGATCAGCTGCACTTAGTTTGAAGACTTTGCTCTTGAGATGATTGGATATTGTGATATACCAATGTCTTGGGGCTTGTTTGAGGTCATAGATAGCCTTTGTTAGGAGACGCGTGGTTTGGAAGTTGGGTGTCTTGGGAACCAGGTGGTTGGCTCATTTAACGTGGTTTTCTCTAATGATCCACAGAGGAAAGCATTAGTTATGTCTAACTGTGGGACAATCCATTGATGATGGAGAGCTTGAGTGAGGAGTACAGGTATTGTTGGTAGTTTTGCCATTGAGCTAAGCATTTATGATTAATCAGAACCTTTCTCCTGTTTAAACCCCGATGTAATTTGCCTCGCTTTATTTTTAGAGATGATTTCATATGTGTTCAATTTTGTTCTGTAAGTTCACATGCAGCCAATGAGATTCTAATTTGGAGGGAGAGGTGCAAAAGACCAAGTTCCTTGACTTTGGAGTGCCTGAAACTACCTCTGTTGGAGATATCCTCTCCATTTCCCTTATAACTACCTAGGCTGCTTTGGTTAGTGTGCGCTATATTTCTGCAGTAGACTCAAGATTTAGGTTGTATGGAATGATGGTGGGGGAGATAGTGGTCCCTCATATGAACCTTAGCCCTCACATATGAACCTTAGACATTAGACCTACATTATTCTATGGTCTATATTGGCTCACAAGGATTGTGAAGTTTGGGCCATTTAAAACTCCAGTCAACTTAATCTTTTGCCATGATTTAAAAATTGAAAAAGTTTTTTACAAGTCAAATTAGATACCAAAATATTAAGTTTTTTTTTAATGATTCATGAAATAATCATAAACTCATTTTACTATAAAATCACGACTTTTCAAAAGATAGTGCTTAAAGAAATATGCATATTCATATCCTGAAGCAAATGATATTCAGATGATCAAAGATTTTAGTTTAAACAATCAATATTTTCTTGAGCTTATAAAAAAGACAACTCATGTGATGATCTACTCTGAAGAAAATATTTTGGTTCCTTATAACAAACCAAAAAATAGTGTTTGGGCAATTTATTTTGTATTGATCCTGACTATTATGTCAAAGCCATGAACACCTTCGTTTGTGATTCACGATATCCACATAACATTGGAAAATTAATACAATTATTTTTTTTGAAGAGATGCCATTTCTTCTCTTTCTCCTCAATATTTGTGAAGCCTCCTTAATTAAGCTTTAGGACAACACTATTCTCAAAGACTAAACTAAAATCTAGTACTCCAAAAATCATTTCAAACTCCAATCTCAAAGACATATATACCAAGACTTAACAGATCTCCAACAAGAAGAATCTCAAAGCACAAGGTTTCTATGTAATGTCCATTGCTAGTTAGTCGGGATGGTCTACCTCCTATCTTCAAAACAAGATGCCTTGATCCTCACCTTTCTAATCAATTAGAGTCAAAAGACCCTTGGTATTTGTTCTGTTGCCTCTGATCAACTAGATAGTCAAAATACCTCTAAGATTTGAGCAGATTTCTAACAACACTAATCCTAAAGTACACGATTACTATCTATCATTCCATTTCTTCATGGGTCTGATGCTCTAGCTCCAATATTCAAAATAAGGGTCTTGATTCTCTAGTCTCCTTTTGATTGGAGTACCAAATAGTCCATTAGCATGAACATTTTAGTCAAACATGAATCTTAAAGATGAAGTTTCTCCATCCTCCATGTCTCACTAAAAGTAATAATGATCTTTTACCTGAGCAATTCTAAATACCCTTTAGGTAAGGTTAATATTCATTCTAAATTATTTTATTCTCTAGAGAATTCTCTGTGGGGCATTTCTTAAGAAAAAAATAGCTCAAGTTAACTCGATCAAATTTTTAGTGAGGATGAGTCTCAAAACTGTTGGATTTGTATCGATATAAGTATAATTTAAATTTTGAGTGATTCAATTGTTTCTTTATTCTCCTTCATTTATTCAAATCCAATTATCAATTTTATTAGAGCATCTTCATAAGCATCATCATGGAAAATACTTCTTAAGATAGACTCAACTTTTTCTTCCAGGTATAGCCATGCAGGAGTTGAATGATTGATGTGAACATCATGTCCTAAAGATCTCTGCTGATTTAAGACTAGTTCCAACATGTAACAATACTAAAATTAATTTAAGATAATCTTGAAATAGAATAGATGCCCACAAACCTCTCCTTGGAATTAGTGGAGGCTTCTTCATCATGAACAATCTTTTTTATGCTAAGCCTGTCTTTGAATTCTCTTAGACGCTCTTGCATTGATTTATTTATATTAAACACTTATATAATCTTTGAATTCAAAGAATATTCTAGATATTTTAACATGTTTATTTGTTTAATGTTCTGCATTTTTTTTAATTTCATGATTCATTATTTTTTCTCCCTGGTTCATGTTGTTGTTACAGGAATGACGAAGAACCAAAACTTTTTGGATGAAGTTTCAAATATTTTTGGAAAGGATGATGAAATATTGATTGTATGTTTTCTACTTTTGATCATTTTAGATTTTTTTTTTTTGGGGTGCAATTATCTGATTAATTTGTTGCAGGGTTGCCTGAGCGGGAAGAGGTCGCTCATGGCTGCATCCGAGCTTTCATCTGCGGTATAGTAAAGACTAGTGTGATGATCTCTGTTGGTTATCAACATATAGAACAAACTAATAATCGTGGTTTTGTCTCCTTCTGTAGGGTTTTACAGGATTGACAGATGTTGCCGGGGGCTATGCTAGTTGGGT